AAGGTGCCTGAGAACTGGCAACAGAGCACGACGATTCCAATCTGGGAAAAAAAGGGCAGTCCTGCGGACTGCACTAGCTACCGTCCAATTCGCCTGCTCTCGCATAGCATGAAAATCTTTGAGCGAATTGTAGACAGTCGTATCCGTGACGTCGTCGAGCTGACCACCAACCAGTGTGGTTTTGTTGCTGGTTGCAGCACCATCGATGCCATACACGCCGCTCGCCTTCTGCTAGAAAAGCATCGCGAAAAACAAAAGCCGATACATCTTGCCTTTCTAGACTTGGAGAAGGCTTTCGATCGCGTTCCACGTGACGTTATATGGTATGCTTTACGACAGCATGGCGTTCCCGAAGAGCTTATTGAGTGGGTGCGCATCCTGTACTCGAGTCCAAAGAGCCGAGTGCAAACGGCCGCGGGCACATCGACGGATTTTCCCATCTCTGTCGGAGTACACCAAGGCTCTGCGTTATCCCCACTGCTATTTGTTGTCGTCATGGATGCCATTACAAAAGATCTCCAGAAGCCGGTACCATGGACGCTTCTTTATGCTGATGACGTGATGCTCGCTAGCGAAGATAAAAGCACGCTTGAGCAACAGGTGCAAACCTGGTCCGACCGTCTAGCTATGTTCGGACTCAGGTTGAACGTAAAAAGACAGAGTACTTGACCACCGATCCGAGTGAGCCAGGCTCTATTAAGATCAATGGTACTGAGCTCACACGTACAACAACATTCAAGTATCTTGGATCAGCAATTGCGTCTGACGGCAGCCTGGTCGTGGAAACGAATTCTCGCGTGAATGCAGCCTGGTTGAAATGGCGCTCGATGACTGGCGTTCTCTGCGATAAGAATATACCTGAGCGTCTCAAATCCAAGATCTATAGAACCGTCATCCGGCCGGTCGCCATTTACGGTGCTGAGTGCTGGCCTGCGACCAAAGAAGTTGAAGCCCGTCTCGGTGTGATGGAGACAAAGATGCTCCGCTGGACAGCCGGAGTCACACGATTAGATCGCATTCGTAATGATGTCATCAGGGAGCGATTCGGTGTAGCTCCGATTGTTGATAAAATGCGCGAAGCCCGTCTCCGATGGTATGGACATGTTCTTCGCGCGAATGAGGACAGTGTCCGTAAGATCGGTCTCAACCTTGACGTGCGCGGAAAGCGGCCTAGAGGACGTCCGAAGCAGCGATGGCTCGACACGTTGCACGAAGACTTGAAGAGCGTTAACATCCACCCCGATCAAGCATTTAATCGGGAGAAAGTGGCGTCAACACATCAGAAAAGCGGACCCCGCCTACAAGCGGGACAGACGCTAAAGAATAAGAAGAAGAAGAAGAATGTTTCGTCTACGGGTGCACCAGCCTGCGCGCGCGATGTCGCGTTGCGAAGAGCGAAAAAGTCGCGTATCTGTCCTAACTATTACCCACCCTCCCTTGGTCCACTCCAACTCCCTCACTCAGGGTATCTGTCCGTTTCTCGGGTCATATAGTGGGGGTGGGTACTTAGGACAGAACGCGACTTTTTCGCTCTTCGCAACGCGACATCGCGCGGCAGGCTGGCGCACCCGTAGCGAAAACAACTACGGTATATAAGAACGCGCGATTGGAGCGCGATATTTGTGTCGGCTTTGATTGCGACAAGGAGTTTGAAGCTTAATAGCCATGGATTTGATAATGAACGAGGAAATGGTAACCAGAAGTGGACCGCTAACTAGCAGTGAAGAGGGAGGTAGGTTATTTTTGCAGAGATGGATGGTAGAGCTTCTGGAGAACCTGGAAGAGGAATGGTTGATGGACGTTTGATGAGACGACTGTAAACTTCTGCATAGGGGTTATTTGGGGCCCTGATCATGAATATGACACTCATTTTTCACATTCGTGCTGTTTAACGCATACTTTCTGCTTTTCTAAGCTTTCTCACCTACAGCGCCTACGACTAAGCATTAGGGGAGGGGAGTGAAACTCCGGAGTGGGTAAACCACGCACCGTGTGGCAAAAGTTGGAGTGTGTCACACCACAGGGGAATGGCCTACCCACTTTGGAGCCCTACACTACTCAAAGGCTTAGTCCTACTGCGATCTAATTAGTGCGAGGGCGCAGACGAGCAGGATGCAGGCGCCGAATAGCGCTAAGAACAAATCAGGACCCCGAATAACCCCTATACAAAAGTTTAAAACGAATTTAGTGGGAAACAGTTGTGGCGCCACCTGGCCCCAAATGGCGCCAGCGTCCAAAATGAGTATCATATCCGTAATGAGGACAGAAGCGTTTCGTAAAAGATGTTATACCCTTATGCAGAAGTCTATACAACAATATGAACCCACAAAATGCAAGCACAAAGCGGCCCTATTAAACCCTCGTTCACCGATAATTCGTAAAACACCATTTTAGTGGCATCGCCCGGAATCGTGTAAGTCACAAAACGTTTTCAATAATGAGACAGAATTAGTGATTCACCGCATTTATCAATACAATGGGTGTGAGCGCGGGCAAGTAAGGAATCAGAAACTTACAAATTCACGCATGCAAAAAAGCTGCTCCAATCGCGCGTTCTTATATACCGTAGTTGTTTTCGCTGCGGGTGCGCCAGCCTGCCGCGCGATGTCGCGTTGCGAAGAGCGAAAAAGTCGCGTTCTGTCCTAAGTACCCACACCCGGTTGCCACCGTCTTAGCTTATTGGAAAAACTGCATCATGAGCCCCCCCCCCCCCTAAGTGGAATAGACCCATTGAACCTTACTTTTGTCAGTTGTAAAGGTCTTGGTGATTGAGGTTCTTGCATTGCGGAAGTACCGAAGCAGAGGGAGCCACCTACACCACAAGCTACAGCACGACATCTGGCGTTAACTTATTTCCTTTCGAAACGGAGGTTTGCTTGCGATGTGACGGGAGAGGTTGTAATGGAGTGAACATTCACACAGAGCTGTTTGACAGCAGACTCGGCAAGATCGCAAAAAAGGCTGGTAAAACTCTGAATTTGGTGAAGCTAGGAGACGCAAACTGTTGTGCCACTTGCACTCCCTCTCCCTTATTGGAGGGACTCGAAAGTCATTACATGAGCTTGATCGCCCTCAAATATCACTACTATGCTGCAAATAAGTTGGATGCATGCCGTGCCCCCAAAGGGAATACTCTACGATTACGGCGTGCGACAGATTGGCCGCAATAGTGTATGTATTCCAGCCAACTTTTACCATACTACATTTGTCTCTGAAAAATGGAAAAAAAACCAGCCGCTTCGGAAAGAAGAAACGTATCTTCTGAGATGGTACATAAGTCTTTATGGTTGAAGCTCACAAGCCGTTATAAAAGTGATGCCATTGTGTTGGCGATTGGAGATGGTAAAATTGGACACAAAGCGATTCTACTACAACGGAGACAACTACGGACTTATCCGTCGCCGGGAAGATTATACCGATAGTTCTGAAAATGAAGCCGACGCGCTCTAGTGAGACAAACGCGACGTAGCCGCACACAAGAGGAGCGCCAAACTTTATCAGCTGTTTATCTGGATAAAATTTTTTGCTGTCTATTTCTAACTGGGACGGTGTGTGTGTTTTTCAGCGATTATATTTACCCATGCATTATGTATCCTCTATGTAGTTGTGCGTTAAAAAGGAGTCTCATCCAGAAATATTGGGAGCACGTGGTGCAACATTTGCTTCTGCATAAAGAATCCAATTTTCGAGGGGAGATATCCCCGGAGTGAGTGAACCATTTCGTTTAGACTTTTAAACCCTCCCGAAGCTTCTTCCCTACGAGAAATAGCTTTAGCCGATATGAACTATCGCACCATGTGCCCCTCACCCTTTTACTGTATTAGACCCTGAAAAGTATTGTTGCCCAGTTCGTGGTAATATCGTTATCACTGCCACGTCTGGGCTCTTATGCAGCAATATCTGGCCGTGGGTGGTTAACCATTCTCCCCGTCAATTGTGTCTCCCCTTTTTCATTGTCGCGTCTATAGGCCGGACGCATAGTCGGTCGGACGACAGCAACGATCTGCAAGTGTCGCACAGCATTGGGTGCGTATCGATCTGCGACACATGCGACACTTACGACCGCTGCTGTCGGACGACAGCAACGATCGTAAGTGTCGCAGATCAATACGCAGCTACTATTCCACACTACAGTGGGACTTTCGAAATACGATCACGCGCAGTCACGTGTTGTCTGGGTTAGCATTGGGTGACCGCGTCGCATTCCATTTGCAACCACGGTTTATGCG